CATGCATCCAAGGCTGGCGGAGCAGCGGCTTGCATTTTCAGGGGGTTGTAAGTTCTTAGGTTTTATGTGCGATACCTCGGATAAGTTTCCGTTAGAAGCACGGCAAAGGATTCTGAAATGGGTACATTACCTTATTGCACACAAACGCGCAAACATTTATACTTTTGGCTCGGTTTATTGGTCTTTTAGTCTCAGCCTGTCGACCAGTTAGGTAAATATGGTTGGCTATATATTAAAACTGCAAAAGTGCTAGTGCAAAATATAGAGCTCTAGCTAAGAGGCCAAATAATTATGATGCGGAGATGCTTATTTTAATGACCTTTCGGGCAACCGAAGGAAAACATTTTTTTATGCTTGAAATGGATACTTTTCATTAGAAATCTGCACAGATGCAAGTTTAAGAGACTGGGGAGCCTCTTATTTAACAATAAAAGTACCCAGGGGTGGAAACTGAATTTACTACACCAGTCACCAACACATAGGTACATATATACATTCTTTAGAACTTGAGGTTATTTTCTTGGCTCCTCTTTTGTTCGCCAATTAGGTAAACCGTTTGGTTGTTATACGAATCGACAGTGCTAGCGTCTTTGCTTCCATCAACAACATGGGAATTGTTCTACTTCCATATTTAAATGACGGTGCTAGAAAAATTTGGTAGTGTTGCGAATACAGAAACATATAAATTTTCACGCAAATTGGCAGGCAGATTTAGCATCACGATTACCGCCTCCAGAAGCAGAGTGGTCACTTTTGCCACTTATAGTGACGACATTTTTCGCTTAATTCGGACAATTTAATATGACTAATTTCAAACGTAATGATTACTTATGTATCGGTGGTTCCCTGACCCCTTTTCCATAGAAATTAGGTACGTTAAATTGCCACTTGTTTTTTGCTTTTCCACCCTTCGCATAGGTTTGACGTACCTTACAAAGATCTTGGCGGATAAAGCCACCGGGAGTCCCCTTTGTCGCCGTCGCAAACCTACTACCCGTTGTTTAGAAGTATGATTGTCAGACCTTACATTAAATCAACGCGAAATGATCGGGGATGCCTTTCTATTAAAAAGGACTTTAACGAAGGCATAATGACCCAGTATAGCAGTACCTATGGTGTGATTTCTGCACGAGGAAGAATTTCCCCCCTTCGAGAGAAAGATGACAAATATCCTTTTTTTTTCTAAGATTTGATTGCTTCAAGGACAAATACCTTTGTGTCATATATGTCAACCCTACTAAGTGGGAATATTGGGACGAATGGAACTGAATTCCGTGCACCGGAAAAATAACTCGTAAAACAGTTATAGTAAAGTTTAAAGTTTACGAATAATTTAAATACATACGTTTAGAAACAACAAGAACTAAAAATTTTCAAAAAAATAATGTTTTTCCATAACAAAGCTTTTGTGAGATAGGCAACTGTGGGTATCTCTTTCTACTAAGTTGGTTAGCTCTTGAAACGTAGGACAGAGCATCCAAACGTTGTCCTTAATTAGATGTTACTATTACTACATAAAGGAATCAGAATGAGAACGAATAAATGTCAACCGTGTCAGAGCTGGGCGGAATACTTTGAAAAAGTATTTGAATACTAAATAGTAAATACTTTACACAAATCAAAGGTATTTGAATACTAAATACTTTTACGTTCAGCACAAGCGAATACTAGATACAGATACATAGAAAAGTATTCAAATACTTTAAAAAATAAGTATTCAAATACTTTAGAATGTATTCGAATACTTTCAAAAGTATTTCATTAACTTACATTGAAAAGTATTCGAATACAGTAAAAAGTATTCAAATACTTGTCACTCAAATACATTAAAAATTTAAAATAGTATACTAGATAAAAGTCTTAATACTACTCAAAAAATCAAGTTATACTTTGTATGGGGTTAGCTTTTTTTATATTTCAATTGTTATATACAAATTTAAGGGGAGTAAAAGCGTATTATTATTATTATATTATTATATAGGAGGTACCTACCAGGACCTTTCTTATACCAGTTATATCCTTAAGAATACGTGTACCAGTTTTCAAAGCGTCGTGCACATGACACGTACGCCTTTTTGAAATTAATCCTAGCGCTTTTGGAACAGATCCATTTGTGACCATCCGTTTGTCCGTGTGCATGATAGTTTAGAAACGTGCGATCGCTTTGAAAATTGGTACACATGGTCTTAAGGATATAAGAAAGGTCCCTATTGTTTTTAAGTTACGTACACTATTGAATCAAAACGTTTCACTCCAGGATCTTACGGTATTCAGTTGTATCGGAATTTTATATTTCATTTTGTGACAATGGAAACTTTCCCTAAACATTTCTAAATTGTTCTCAAATATTTGAATAACTTAAAAGTACTGCGTTTTTTTGAGGCCGGAAAAAAATTGTCTGAGATCGACCGGGAAAAAACATTTTCTTATAGAATTTGGCCCGTAGAATCCATAATTTCAAACAGTTCCAAGATTGGGCTACTAGTTCAAAAGTTACAGCCCTTTGAATTTTTTTCGAAATTGGTTTCTAGTCTATAACTTTTGATTGAGAAGTCTGATCGAAAAAGTACGAATTGTTTTGGATTCTACGCACCAAAATTAATAAGAAAAAGTGTCTTCCCGAGACATTTTGGTGCAGTCCATTTTTGGTAAAAAAAAGGAAGGTTATACACTGCCTTTTTTTGAGGCCCGAAAAAAAAATTGTCTCAGATCGATCCCGAAAAAAATTTTCTTATAGAATGTGTCCTGTAGGATCCATAATTTCAATCAGTTCCGAGATTGGGGTACTAGTTCAAAAGTTACAGCCCTTTGAATTTTCTTTCGAAATTGATTTGTAGTCTTTTTTTTTTTATTTAAAGGAATAATGCCTGAACTACAAGGTCTTGTGGCATTTTTGCTTATACAGCAGATAAGATTTACATTTACATGGCATCGATTAGTTGAATGTCTTTTAGAAAACTTATTACGTTCTTTGGCTTTGAGCAAGCGGTTTCTAAGTGGTTGCCGATGTTAAAGTTGTTGCGCTGCTTCGTGGTCCTAGGACAGTCACAGAGGATGTGTCTCACAGTTAGTTTGATATTGCATTGTTGGCAAGTTGGTTCTTCTTCCTTTTTAAGCAGGTAGTCGTGGGTAAGTCTTGTATGTCCTGTTTTCAGTCTTGTTAATATTGTCTCTTCTCTTCTAGTGATATTGCTTTGGGATTCTGGGGGTGTGTGTTTCGGTTTGTAGTAATTTTTTGTGTTCGCTGTATCTTCCCATTCCAAGTTCCATGCTTTGGTGATACGGTTTTTAATTATATGTTTGGCGTCGGTCCTTGTGGTGTATGTCGTGCTTGGATCTTTCCTGTATGTGGCCTCTTTTGCTTGTTGGTCTGCTCTGTCGTTGCCTTCGATGTTGATATGTGATGGAATCCATAGAAAGTCGGTTTCTTTGCTTTGTGATTTGAGTGTTTTCCAGGTGGTGTGTATTTCATATATTATATATATTATATATATTCATGTTGTGGGTACATGTTGTTTAATCCCTGTAATGCGCTGAGCGAGTCCGTTACTATTAAAAATTTATCGTACACGTTTCTCGATATATATCCGAGTGCTTCCTTGATGGAATATAGTTCGGCACTGTACACACTTGGCGCATCTGGTAATTTGTATTGGTAGGAATTGTCTTCGTGTATAAACGCGCATCCAACAAGATTTTTAATTTTTGAACCATCCGTATATATTATTTGTCTGTCATTATGTCTATTAAGGATTTCTAAGAAGAGGTTTTTATAGATTGCTGGATTTGTAGAATTTTTTGGGTGGTTGGTTAGTTCAGAGTTCGGCTTTATAAGAGGAGTTCCCAGGGTTGCTTGATTTGGGGAGTATTCGGTAGTTTAACTTGTATTTCAAGGGATAACTTTTGATTGAGAAGTCTGATAGAAAAAGTACGAATTATTTTGGATTCTACGCACCAAAATTAATAAGAAAAAGTGTTTTCCCGAGACATTTTGGTGCAGTCCATTTTTGGTAAAAAAAAAGGAAGGTTATACACTGCCTTTTTTTGAGGCCCGAAAAAAAAATTGTCTCAGATCGATCCCGAAAAAAATTTTCTTATAGAATGTGGGCTGTAGAATCCATAATTTCAAACAGTTCCAAGATTGGGCTACTAGATCAAAAGTTACAGCCCTTTGAATTTTCTTTCGAAATTGGTTTCTAGTCCATAACTTTTGATTGAGAAGTCTGATCGAAAAAGTACGAATTGTGTTGGATTCTACCCACCAAAATTCATAAGAAAAAGTGTTTTCTCGAGAAATTTTGGTGTAGTCGATTTTTGGTAAAAAAGGAAGGTTAAGTATTCGAATACTAAATATTTGTGAAAGTATTTGAGTTACAAATACAAATACTGCTTCCATAAAATTAGGTATTTAATTACAAAGTATTTGAATACTAAAAAGTATTTACAAAATCAAATACTTCCCACCTCTGAACCGTGTCTACATCTACCCTTTTTTGAAGAGGGTCTGTACCTTTGCGTATAGTAGTAATCTGGAATACCTCAAGTGAGGAAAAGTACATTTGCTGGCAAATTTTAGGGAATTTAAAAGTGTAGCCTCTGTCCAGTTCAAAAATTATAATTTCTATTACACAGTTTGGTTTTATTTACAGGGTTTCTAAACCACTCCTTTCAGTGCTCATAGAAGTGCAAAGCCCCTCTCCATTTCAAAAATTATATATTTTTTTAAAACTCACTTTTACATAACGATTCGTTTGTAATTTTTTTAGTACCTTCATCGAAAATTTGTGTTTCTTTGTTTGATTTTAGCATTGGCGCACTAATAAGGAAAGCGCTTTCTACTACTTTCTAATGCTGTGATCTCGGACCTCACACAAATGAAAAAGACACTAATAACATAAGTCTATGTTTCAAAATTACGCTGAAATTTCTTCCCGCAATCGACAATGACACTTAAATAGTTCTCTTGCAAAGGTAGGGCACAGAATAAATTGTCCTCACGATCAAAACGGAATTTGTTATATTTTTATGCAAATAAATATCTACAATAAAATTCAGCATGGAAGTAAACCGTAACTCAACAACTCGATACAGCTTTGACTAGATAAAACAACCCGTAATAATCGATAAATAATTAGTTATATATAAATACGAAATAAATATTCGGGCGTATAGTTAGTTAATAGTTTACAAAGGAACAAAAGTAATTAAAAAATATCACAACGTGTTAAAGCACAACCATATTCCTTGATCATGTGAAGTTTATGTAGGAGACTTCATTTCTTGTTTTAGGCAGTTTCGGAATGCATCCCATCCCTCATTTTTGGCGTACGACTGTTAAAATAACAATTAGAACTACCTATACCGTTTAGCTGTGAATAATACCCTAAATCCGCGATGTAGGCGGTCTTTCATAATGGCAATGAATTCGCGATAGCTTAATAAGCCATCGCCATCTTCATCAAAAATTGAGAAGACTGTGTGGACGATATGCTGACTTAAACTTGTACCAGTACAGATTTTGACGGCTCGATGAAATTCATCTGAAAAGTACCAATAAAAAATGATCCCGAGATTAATGTTAAACTACCTTTAGAGATGGGATGATCTGCTAAAGTGTACATGCGCATTGCGATGGTGAAGTCTTCCAAATTGTTTAAAAATTGGCAAAAAATATAGAATTCCTCAAAAGTAATTCCTTTGGTGTCTTTTATTCTGTCCAAAAGCCGATCCAAATACATATCATACTCGTCGGTGTCCAGATAGGTGTAACGTAGCAATATTTTGGCAAAATCAACTTCTGAAATTGTTTGCAGGCCTTTAGAAAATTCGCTGAATTCCAATTCCAAAACTTCCGTTTGTAAATCGAGCATGAAACGACGAAATCCTTCAAACTTCAACTCTTCGTTTCCCTTAGGCCCGAAGAAATGTATGATAAGGGTCGTATCAACAGCGTGGCGTCTTTGTAAACCTTGCTCGTCGTCAACGTATTCTTCCGACGGAACTTTAATTTTGGTCAGATCTTCCGCTATCGCCAATCCTCTTTTACCTTTCCACGCGTGACTGAAGATCTTTTCCATCTATTTAAAACATCGCTATTAGACATATGAAGTGTGAGTACATGCAAAAGTGTCTATGAAAAGTGAAAACAACCACAAAACGGCACAGGACAACGTTACGCTTAGAAATGACACAACTCACAGGTTTTGTTAATTTCCATTCCTTCGAATTAAGTATGTACAAAACACTAAACGCCAAAAAGAAAATCAACACTATTTAGCGGGGTTAGAAGAAAGAGGCGCTGGTCTAATCCAGCTTTTTTGGGGGCAAACTCACGGTTTCATGGTCCTTGTGCTTTCCGGATAATAGTTTACGTACCTATTCAAGGTATTAAATCAATTTCGTAATGTAACATGAAAAGAAAGTATGTTACGCGACAAAAATAAGTTAAACTTACGACGAGAAATTCGTTCTTATCCACTCTTTGATTACCATCGGTATCGAACATATTAAACGCGATTCGAAATCCGGATTGAGGCTCTGTAAATATACAAAAGTATAAAATAATGATCTTAAAATATGAATCTTTATTACTTACTTGTTAAGACAGATAATAGAAACAGGTACTCCGTGTAGGAGATAATTCCTAAATAGATTCAAACATTAGGTCTTATGAGTAATCATAATATAAATCTGACCTTTATCTCTTAAATTTCTAAATAGCCTGGGAGAGCCTTGGTTTAAACTGGGTGTGTGCCCTTTCATATATTCCATGTCTGAAGTAGTTAACATTTTCCTTTTAAGTCGAGCTAGAATTGATTAGACGATATTGCATTAATTAACGCATGTCCGGGATTCACTTTTAATATAATGTCATTGCGAGATTGATTAGATTTGCTACGTACGTCGCGGGTCTGCTTCTACCACCGACTCGAGGAAATCTTGGGGTGTCATGTAAAGTTGACCATCAAATTCAACAGACGCAAATCTGATAAATCGGCGTTCTCTTGAGGTAAGTCTGACTGCACGTACTCCTTCTTCGGCCTAAAGTTGGTAAAAATTAACTGTCCCCTTATATTTTACAGAAATAGCAACAATAAGGAATTTAACTTATATGGTTATATGTAAGAGACTGGTTTAATGAATGAATTTTTTGTAACTAATTATATTTAGTGGGGTCGTTTTGGTTTTGAGTTAAAAAGGTAATGTATGATAATAAATTATGAGTCTAGACTGTAGATGAGACCACGCGTGTGCGTTTGTTGTGAAGATAAAATGTTTTTACGCTTCACCAAGTAAATGTTCGTCATTCAACGCAAAGAAAATTTTCCGTATCATCTATTTACAAGCTAGAGTTTCTAAGTGTGTAACGTTAAACATAAACAACCCCAGTCACTGAACTGGGCCACACAAGCTGACCATAATAAGAAGTTATTTATTAGGTTCCTATATCAGAAGATGACATCAGACGAGCCTACTTTACTATGACATTATCGTTCTACCTTTACATGTACTTCATTCAAGACTTGATCATCTATTTGTTGTTTCAAACGTCTGACGTCCGCATACCACTATCGTTTTGCGGTATTAACTTTGCTTTATATCTAATTTACTTTGGAAGATATTGAGCATCAAGTTACCTACTAATTCTCATAGGATTGGTTTCACCATGGACCATCAACTGCAGGTGAACGTAATGGGGGTATAAAGCTATCACGAACAGAATACATTTGTTCCCAACGTGATTACAGTTTACACAATGTAAAGACTGGCTTAGTATACACTTGCTGAAGGATATCATATCGTATTTAACAAGTTTAAAAGGTAATTGTCATATTTCATTATTATATAATGCTTTTTTCTTAAAAAGGGCTTGATATAAACGCTTTGTGTATTACGAGCTCTATAGCCACCGAAGAATGTGTTAAGATGCCGACTGAGATAAAGAGGCTTAACATGGGATTCTATCATAAGGTGTAAAATTTATCATTTCCAATGACATAAGGAATGATCGAAAACAGCTGCAGCCCTTTGCACCGATTGTGCTGGATTTGTCAACTAATCATCCAAGACAGATTTCAACACCGCCAAACTGTCGCCTCTTATTAATCTTCGACAGATGGAGGAGTGCTTTATTTTCGACGTGTTTTGCGGAACACACATGCGACAGAAGCTTCGCTTCCCTTTGTGTCAGACCGTTCCCCCAATCGCGAACTTTAATTATCTTTTGGAACAAATCCATTTCAACTCTCTTATTGGTTTCCGGAGCAACATTGGAGTGAAACAAGAGCTCTTTTAGTAAAGTGGATTAGAAACTGGACAAAACTCAAACCAAGTGATTTATTAGCGTCTTTATTAATATAAATGCGACATTTTCACAATTTATTTTTTATAAATCCGGAGGAAAACACCTTTTTGTCTGCCACTAAATTCTTCTTTTGTCACGATAAGAAAGGGTAACAGTTACTTTCGGTGATGGAGACAACTTACGAGGTTAGTAAAGATTTGTTCCCCATGTTCAAGGGTATAAATATATCGGTTGTGGTGTGTAGTAAAACAAGATAGTAAGATAATAAATCTTATTTCCTGTTACTGGTTGTTTATTTATAAATTTGCTCCCAATCGAAATGAAATGAAAATGAAAGAGCCGCCATTTTAAACAATGTTTACGCGGGAAAGTTAATTACGACGATGATTTATGAAATTCGGCTGCATGTACTCTATGAATATGGCAGATATTTAAATAGAATCAATTGTGAAACTTACATTTTTCGGTTGATAAGCCAGAACACTTTTACTTGCAACGCACTGATATGCTGTGTATATGGCTATCGTTCCTCCTGCCACAATTACTGCTGACAATGAATTAGTATTATAATATTTTACTTTATTATGACTAAATTTGCTAATATTTCTAACAGAATTTGTCAATTTGGCTTGGAGAGCACGAAGGATCGATCTGCCAATTATCGCCATTTTGACGTAGAGAACACGTGGGATTCCATGTATTTTCTCTACTAGCCAGTAGATGTAATGCATATCGGGTTTTAAATAAATTAGAAATCAAGTTTTGGCACAGGACCGTACTTAGACGTTAAATTGTCTAGATTTTAACGAAAATATTGGAATTTACACGCCGAGCATTGAATACCTATACAGAGCTTGGTTTCAAAGACAAAAAGGTAAGCTAGGTAATAAATAAGTTGTTATTAAGCGCTTGAAAGAATATATAAATACTTAATTACTGAATATTTTACATAATCAAAAAGTTATATTTAACTTTCTTATTTATATGATGATCGAATAATGAGATACGAGTTTCTGTTACGTATCCACAGTAACGTTGTCTGTAGTTTTAGTTCCGGAAGAAGAACAAAAATCGCGCCTAGATTCATTTATAATTTGTGTCTTTGTATTTATTGAAAAATTAAGGAGATGTGACCTCAGACAAAAAGGTCGACTGATGATAAACTAAGTATCTTTATTGCTCATCGTCTCCTACCTCACACAAATTGTAAGAAGCCAAATTTTGCAAACTGAGGATTCTTTTGGTAGGTAATTAACAAACACCAGAAATTTCGTTTTGCTCTAACCAGAATTAACACCAAAAGCCCGAAATCGAATGACGTTGCGATAGCAGTTTCAGGGGTAGCAGAAGGTGATTTTTATACATTTTCACATAATTTTGTGGAGACATCGTTAAAACCAGCTCTCACTAGTGAAAATTTTTGATGATTGTTTAATTTTTTACTTTTTATTATCAAAACTTCCTTGTTGAATATGGTATGAAAACACACACCGGATAAAAACCACTGCTTATACCCAAATTGAACTTCTTCAGTTATAATTAATCATTTTCTTAACGCTTATAAACAATTTGAAAGATTTAAAAACTGATAATTGCCAATTGTTTTGGGCACACAAAGCAATAAGCATCTACACCGCTTGTTCACACATTTAATGCATAACGAACGATTAGTATAGCTATTGGTGTGACCTACTACCTCCTGCAAGGATAAATTCCTAAAAAGTTTTATTCGTGTCAGGATACTTGCGCCCGGGTCACTTGCGTTCAGGATAATTACATGGAACGTCGCTATTGTTAATGAAGGTGAGACAATTGCGCCCCAAGATAAAATCGCTGTAGGTACCTCAAAGAAAATGGCATTGAAATTATTTGAAATCGATTGCTGGTTAGCACAATTTGAAACCCACAAATGAACAACAGTTTTAATTAAAAGTAAACAGCATTTTTGTTTTTCAGAATTAATTATGGCTAATTTGCACTTATGCAATGAAGGTTTGTTTTCCCCTTTAGTGTGTTACCTAATATTACTTTTTTTGTCGCATTTCACATTCAATTTTGAGTACATACAAAAAAATCTAGAAACAATGATACGCAGAATCGCACTTGATTTTCAATGGGGGAATTTTTTGGCACAACTCGCATTCGAAAAGACGACTGTTAACCCGGCTCATATTCAATACACGTAGAAATCGATTTTTGAAGTTTGACATCGCTGCCTCTTTTCGTTCTCGACTTAAACACGGACAGACATACGGACGCACGGACGGACAGAACCATCACAAAAGGGGAATTTTTCGCACAGACGAACGGACGGACAGAAATATTGTTCGCTATTTGGTTGGTTATAGTTTCGAGGTTTTTATTTTTCTGCGCTGATTGCTAAATAAGTTATAGTAAAAAATCATTTTTCTCATGTAACAACATTTATAATTTTGCCGTTTACTGTGCTTATGAATTCTATACGCTAAGATGCTTCTTATACCTACAATCAAATTGAAATGACGTGTGAAAGAATAAGTTGTGCATGCTATAAAATGAAATTGAAGTACCACGCAAAAATGGATTGCGCATGTGCAACATTAGCTTTCTTATTTGTGGCCGGATTTTTATGAAATTTTAAATGAAGTGGCGTCTTACAAATGGAAAATGAATGCACTTGTCAAAAAATGGATTACTTATGCGCAGATCTAACTTTCTTACTAGTGTAACCACTGTTTTTTTGAAATCTTAACCAAAGTTTCCAGTATAATTGTTTGGTTTTCCTTATACAATTCATTTCCTTTTCCATTGCAATTTTTGGTTACCGTGTGACAGTCGAGATATGTGTTGGTTAGTTTTTGGGTGTTAATGTGCGCGTTGCTTTTCTTGATTGCTCCATGTAAGGATCTCCTGCCGGCGACCTCTCGCTGACTGTACGCTTGGCAAAATAGTTCTTCCTCCCCCTTCCGTTATTTGGCTGCTACTTAGCTCTTCCATACATTTCTCTATTAATGATTAGCTTATTATACTTTATTTGTGTTATGTATCCTTTTTGCTTCCCTTCTTTCATGTGGAGAATTAAAATCTTCCTTTCTTCCAAAACTTCTCTGGAGCAATCCTCAACGATCCAAATGTTGCTACGTAAGATTTGTGATTTCTTCATATTTGATGTTAATTTAATCACTATTGGTCTTTTGTACTTTTAAATTTGCCTATTCTTTTGATTTTATCTATATCATTTTTTTTATCTATTTCAACCCCTATATCTCGCATCAACGTTCTTACTTGATCTCGTGTGTCTTCGGCTTTTTCGTTTATAATATGCTCAACTCCTTTGATTTGATTTCTCCTCCTTATTTCTCTTTCTAATGAGTGTATTTTTCTGTCTTGGTGTAGTATTATCTTTCTTTCATTAATCAGTTTTGTTACTTTATTCTAGTGTTTTCGTTAATTAGTCTTTTAAATTTTTTATTTTGATGGTATCCATATTTGTACATTCGGTTTGATCGTCATCAGTAGTAGGTAGCTTTCTTCCTCCTTCCATTCCGTGTTCCATTTAGTTTTAATTATGGGTAATCTACGGATGAATCTGTGAATCGATTTATATAATTAACAGTCATTTTTTTAATTCTGGCAACAGACTATACTGTCTTATTTTAATTCGCGTGTCTAAATTTTTGACGTTTTGAAGATATTCAACGATCTTTATAGAAAACAATGTTGGCGTCCCGGTTACTTGGCAGCGCATGTGCACCGGACCTAAGGCAGTTTGGTGAGATATGACGAGGATGAATTTTAATATTCTGCGATCCCATCCCTTAAATTTTAATCTTTTCCTGGATAAATTTTTGATTTTGCATAAAACACAAAGTGATTGCGCACAATAATATTAGTAAAATTATACAGTAAAAAGGAAGCTGTGTAAATGTCTTGCTATCCGGTGGAATCTGGGCAATTGCTTCTAGACGAAATGCTGCCCATAAGTGTAAATTTTGGTCTAGGTCTAGGTTGTTACTTGTCCTTCAAGTTTAAACATTCGATACGTTATGAAGAGTAGATGTTTCTTCATCCATAAATAAAGTATTTCCCGTAAATTTTCGACCTTATTTCTTTCCGTCATTTCGAAACAGCGCGTTTTTCACAGTCACCTTCGCGTGGTTCCTGATGACACTGGATTTTTTGCAATCAAAATTATTGGTGTACAGTTTTGAATTAATGAGATTCATGTAGATCAGAAGTGATGCACTTACGACATTGTAAAACCTATGGTCATGCAATCTAATTTTCAGTCTACATGGTTAACGACAAGTTTAATTCGTACAGCCTTTTACGAGGGTGCACACTATTAATTGAATACGAGAAATTAATTTAAACGGCGGTTTATTCAATGGAAGTAGAAAGAATTTTTAAACATTTAGTATTATAGCCAATGCCTCGTAAAAGCTATTGGATATTAATGAAATTCCGTCCGTTGGCGAGAACAGCACAAGTGCAAATTACAACTAAAGCGTGCAGATATCTTTACGATTGACAATAAGAAGTATCTTATTATGTACATAGGCGGTGGAGTTCTTTTGCTGCAAAATTACACAATACACTGACACTTCACACTCATGTAAAATACATTGTCTCTGATTGAAAAGTGAACAACAAAGGATTATTGAGTAAATACGACTGTTTACTGTAAGGATAAATAGTCGTTAACCCAAAAAGTCAGTGAATTTGAAGGATCCATCGGGAATGTACAACATACATTGTACACTTGTACAGATTGTAATCGAGTGTCCATTCGGCAAACGAAAAGATCATTCAGTAAAAATTCGTGTTCAAGAGCACATTTTTAATATAATTAGTTAATAATAAATTTACCATTGCCGCATATACGCTTGAAAATGCCCATAGAGCCATATAGTAAAAGTGAATTATCTATATTGTTTTTCTCCCTATCATGAGGGAGGATCATTTCTCCCAAACTTTCACTTGTAACTGGTAACTACTTTCTCTTCAATTGTTAACTGATCATAACAGTTTTACTGTCAAGACGCGTACGTCGTCAACATCTATCATTTTCTCTTTGTGAGTACTCTCTTCTGACATTCCGTTTTCGAGATATTCGCATTGGTTCTAACCCCATCGACGGATGCGTCTTCTGTACATCTATCATTTTTGAGTTATTCGCATTTAAAGTTTCAACTCCAAAGGCGCTTCGTTGACATGTATCACATTTTCTTTGGAAGAACCCTTTTCCGATACTCCGTTTTCTAGACGTTCACAATTGAAGTTTTCTCCGCGCAGTGCAACTTTTGACATATTTATTGTAAGTAATCGACTTGCTGAGATTTCATAAAAATCAGACCATAAATAAAAAAGTTGATTAAGTAAATTGTTCTTCATGTTGTAGTTTTCTCTAAGTGTTTTTTTTCGATTTTTTTTGGTCATAGCCTACGGGCCGCAAATGGTTAAATCCGCCTCTGAACATATTATTTTGTTGTATATATTGTTCGCTCATAATTAATGTAAAAGACTGCAATTGTCAATTTTCTAGTCTTGGTGAAACGTACCATGCTTCTAGTTTTTAAAGCGCCTAAGAATTGAAATCTCCCCTCAGTGTTTATTTTATATTTTATATTTGCGACGACGACTGTTTAATGCAGGCAAACCCCCGTCATATTCTTTTACGGGTTTCTTCGCTTTTGAGACATACAGGGTGACAATTTGAAAACTTACCACCCCCCATATCTTAGTAAATAAACGAGATATTTAAAAAAATCAAAATCCGTTTCTGTAATTCGGAGGGGGAATCACAATGATATAGTTGGCGACGCACCCCCTCACACCCCCTGCGCCCTAGCCACCCCAACTTTTAAATCTTAAATAGTGACTCCCCATGTGTGATACGTCATTGGAAAGCTCTGAAAAAATGCTTTCCAACCATATCAAATAGCATTACATTTAGGTTAGTAATTATCGTGCAAATCAAAAAATAAACATGGAAAATCGTATTTAACTTGAACTTCCAAAGCAGACTCGACAGCAACTCATTTTTGATCGCCAGTTATAATCTAT